GCAAAAGCACCTCCAGACTAAGAACAGGAAATGGCAATAGAGTTCATTCCCACTTGTTATTCCAGTCTGTGAATGAGTTGCTTCAGTAAGGCTTTATATCACTTGTTTTACAGAGGTCAAATTTTCAGACATTAGTTTGATCTTTGGTGTGAGTTTTGAGGTTTCTTATTGTCCCAGTTTAAATGAGACAAGGGTCTTTTGCTGAGGATGGATTAGGAGGAAAAGACCCAAACTTCTCTAAGTAATTATAAATCCAATATTAAGAGGCTCCGATTGAAGGAAAACAAATTATGGAAAAGGGAAAATAACAGTCCTTTATTAAAAGGTATGTGTGTGTTAACAGAAACACGGAAAAAACCAAGTAAAACAACCAAACAATACTCCTATACCCACCAATAATCCCCTTCAAGAACAAAACCGATAAACCGGCAAAAGGAAAATTAAACAGTTCAATTTTTGCACCCTTTGATGCAGTTCCAACCACTGTTAGCAGGGGGCGCTGTTGGGTCACTGGAGGAGCAGAATTTGTAATGTCCAGTGCCCGTCACCAGGCGGCGCTGTGGGATCCCTAGTCGCACCCCGTGGGATGGGGGAAAAAAGCCCAATACTCTCTCGGTATGTCAGAGGGAAGGAGAAAAACCAGACCAAAAATCAAAAAAAAAACTCGGTTCCCCTTCCCTTCCCACACTGGGAAAGGAGAGAGGGAATGTGAGGGAAAGGGGGAAGGAAAAAGAAACCAGCAATAAACCAGAAAGTTCTCCCAATGGAAGAAAACTCACGAACTTCAGCAGATTATGATTAGCTTTAAGCAAGGCCTGCAGCCAGCAACAGCTGAGAAGAGAACAGCAGCAAACTCCCCTCCGACAAGAAGAAAGAAGAAACCAGACAGCTCTGCAGCTTGCAGCAGGTCCTCCCCTCACCAGCACACACACCAGCCACACACCAGCCCCCCACAATTCCTCCCCCTTCGTTGTCAAGGAGACCAATCTCGGCCATTAGTGGACTAAGCCGATTCCTTTGTTCACCTGATGGCCCATATACAGAGCACACACACACACACACACACACACACACACACACACACACACAGACACACACGGCAGGGGGAAGGGAAAGAAAAATTCCTTGTTAAAATCAGAACTATGACACTTATGTTCCTATTCCAGTATTTGATTACTTTTCAGAGACCAGGTTGAATCATGACAACTTGTGGAAATGCAAGAGCACACAAATCAGAAGTAACAAACTTAAAACACCGTGTTTCCCAGCACTTGAAGTGGCAGTGTCATGAGAAGCAGAACAGGCTGACCTTTTACATTGCACTCCAGGTCTGCAGAGTAAACCCCTCAGGTTGTTTAATTGTTTTGCTAATTTTTCTCCGCTGTATTTTACATTTTGGAATTGTTTTTTGCTGGTGGGCTTTCATGAAGTATGGTTCCTGATGCCCATTGAATGAAATCAACTTGTGGAATGCTGGCTAATAGCAACAAAATTCTGTGTCAAATAAAGGAAGCACTTTTATCACAGTTCCTGCTTTTCTGCCAGGAGAATTCAGGTTGTTTGGGATGGGAACCCCAACAGACATTATCCCTTGTCCTATCGCTACATGGCCTTGTCAAAAGTCCCTCTCTATCTTGTAGGTCCCATTTAGGTACCACATAGCACACTCTTTGAGAAGGATAAAAGCAACATATCAGATTATTAGGAATTGGGAGGGGTACCTTTGAAGTGTTTTTCAACTGGTATACACTATTTCTCTCCTCACACTTGATCGTGTCATAGTTCCTTAAAAATTAGCTAAGCAAGTAGGCAGATTAATTTGCCATAGTCTTGGTATTGCTGTTCTGATGGCAACTGGGAGGTCAGGTGACAATTCTTGGGCTTAGCTGAGCAGGTCTTACCTGGGTAATAGTGAGAATTTTTAGGTTGCGCTGTTAGCTTATTTCTCTGACCATTTGCTAAGATAAAGTGTCAGAAAGTCAAAACAGGTGGTGGATTAGTTTTCTGTATTCTGTTAACACAGTATAAAGTGCACATGCATTTAGTTCACTAAGCACTCGTCTGGCAGGAGCAGAACAGAACAGTTTGTGGAAACATCTGATTTTTACACCTTGAACCAGAAGAGCCTGTAAGGACTGTGAGTGGAATGCACTCCAGAGCAACACGGTGGCACAAAACTTGGATAATTACTCACAGATGATCTATCTCCAGACCAAGGTCTTCCAAACCTGGGCCAGAATTCTGTTACTGTATCACTGCATCTGCTGGCTGCCTTTTTCCTCCTTTTTCCCTCCTGAACATTGATGCCACTGTGTAGAAAAAAAATTGTTTGACGATTCATCTAAAATGACAGCACAAGCTACAAGCCATAAAAGATACAGCTTAGCTCAGTGCGTTCCCAGCCACTTTGCTGTTTTGCTGCTCCATCCACATAAAGGCAGGTGTGCTCAGCAAACTCCTTCCTTCACTTGGTGAAAGGGATGATTTTTTAGAAGTCAGCCCCTTGCTATGAACAGCAATGACACCTATGAGTGCTGCCAGCTGGTGACATTTGCTCATTTTAAGTCAGAAAGTAACATAAGTGCTTAACCCTGAACTAAAAAAAAGTGTCCTGATTTACAGAGCTGACTGGCCTACAAGATTTTGTGGTGCTCTAGGAGTACTCTGTGACACAATTCCTGCTGACACGTTATAAATATCAGAATGGTCTATTTTTGGTTTTGTGTTGTTGTGGGGTTTTTTATCACTTGACTGGTAGAAAGTGATACAATTTGGCTTCCATCAAGACAGCATTACTGTTTGTGCAAATATCTCCTAACTACTGCTACTTTCTGTGCCATATTTATTAGTGAAAGGTTACTAATTACCCACACTATGGCTTTTAGAGGTGTGAGTAATGTGTGGCTTTTACTGTGTCAGGATGCCTCAACTTAACCAAAATGTATGCACCAGGCGGGTGACACCTGCAGATGACCTGTCAGTTCACTTGAAATGCTCTAATTGCTGTGACATATTAAATATAACCCAAGGTCTCAAACCATGAGGGCCATCTGTTTTATGTCAGATCTGTTTGGTTTTTTTTTTAATCAGTAAGATCTGTTTGTTTTTCACCCCATGAAAAGGGGGCTGGGTTTGCCTCACTTTTACTTTGTGCCATCTCTGAGGACTGTGAGGAGCAGTTTGGAATATAACCAGAGGCTGAACTGTGCTTTGCCATCATATTGTTCAGCAGCAGGAAAAAAAAATCATCCCTCTTACAGTGGGTAATGACACAGCTGAGATAACCTCTCCAGAGCAGCAAGGTGTTTGGGATGCAACATCCAGTCTCATCCCCACCCTGCTCCTTTGCTTCTCAGCTGACACAGAGAAGTGCCTTCCACTTGCTGTTCAACTTTCACTGCTGTATGGAATCAGGCTAGGGAAAAAGAGGGAGGCATGCAACAAAGTTGGATGTGCCTCTTTCCCTGCAGCTCTTTCCCCTTGACAGAATAGGTCTCTGCTGGCCTAGACAGGAAAATTGACAAAGGCAGACTAAAGGGCCTTATCACTGCTGAAGAGCCTACACATGCTGCAGTGATCACAGGCTCAGCACACCACTGGACTGCAGGCACTGCTGGCAGTTGCTAGCCCGATGCCACACTGAGAACAGGGTCACTTTGAACAGGTTTTTCTTATGGTTAATAGGGATTTCCTGTACTTTGTGTCCATTGCTTCTCTCATTGTACACCACCAAGAGGAGTCTGTCTTCTTCACTCACCTCATCAAATGTTTATACACAGGGATAACGCTCCCCATGGGCCTTCTCCAAGCTAAATAGTCTCATCTCTTTCAGTTTCTCCTCATGTGAGAGATGCCCTAGTCCATTCATCACCCTCGTGGCCCTTTTCAGCACTTCCTCCAGTCTGTACAGTCTCTTGCACTGATGAGCCCCGGACTGGACCCAGCACTCCAGGCATGTCCTACCAGGGCTGGACACAGAGGAAAGACCAGCCCTTGACCTGCTGGCCACTCCTCCTAATGCAGTCCAAGAGGCTACTTACCATATATGTCATGAGGGCAGATTACTGGGTCTTGGTCGGTTTAGTGTTCAGTGGCCCCCCAGGATCCTTCCCTGCCAAACTGCTTTCCAGCTGGGAAAATGCACTCCTCTGCATATACAGAATGGTCTGCTCCCCTCAATTGCAGGACTTTGCAATTCCCTCTATTCAACTTCATGAGGTTCCTCTTGGCATTCTTCTCCAAACTATCGAGGACCCTCTGAATGGTGGCACAGCCCTCTGGTGTACAGACATGGCCATGCTACTCTGTGGAGCTTCCTGCTACTCCTGCCATGGGGCTTCTTTCAGCTTGTCAAATTCCTCAGCTTTCCTCAGCAGCTGTTTTCCAGTTACTCCATTAGTCCCAGGATCTCTAATCTTCAGATCCTCCCTACATCAGAGACACCCAAACTCCCACTAGGAATCAGCTGAAGAACATGATGAAACCCATGAGTTGTCCAAGCTCAAAAATCTGACAGATAAGCATGAGCAGACCAGCTTAGCTGAAGAGAGGCCACCCACATGCCTAGTTTGATCCCACTGGTGTTGGTAAGAGGGTGGCCAGTTTTCATTAGCATAACATTTGGTCAGCTTTTCTTGGTGTCACACTGGTGACACGAGGGCTGTGAGGAAGTTGGTGAGTTGGTAATGATGGATCTTGCTCAACTCCTTACTCTTCTGTAAGCCTGCCACAGAATTCTACCTTGCAGTATGAAAACCAAACACATTTTTCTTCCTGAAGAGCTAGATCCCAAATAACTTCACAACACTTCTGCAAGAATATGTTTATTTTACTCATATTTGTATTCTGTCACTTCATCCGCTATGACTGGGTTGAAAAGTAAACTTTTCTTTCAATGACCATAAGAGTTAGTCTCTCTTCCCACACAATTCAATCATTGTTTAGCAACAAACAGAACTAAAAGAGCCTAAGACACACATGACATCATTAAAACAAATTAATTAAATTCATTAAAATTTAATTTAAAAATTAAACACATCAGCGTTGATGCATGGAGGAGAAAAAGGAATCAACCACTTATTTCTTAGAAAAGTGCATCTCCCTTAAATACTAACAAAATTAAGAAATCTATTGTCTGGGGAAGAGCAGGGAGGGTACCTATGCATATGCTGATACTTCCACATCCATATCCCCACTCAAACACACACATACACATTTAGGTACATATCTGTCTATCTATCTATGCACGCAGGTACATACACAGACACAAAGATTAGACTGGACAAGTAATTTTTTCTTTTCCCTGGGAGAATATTATTATAACTTTTAATTATATTAATTACATCTGCATTTAAAACAGGAAAACTTATTAAACACAGAAAAGAAACTGTAAGAGCTCTAACTTATTTGGCTAAACCTTGGAAATCACTGTCTATTTAGCATAAAATACATGAAAAATTAACTTTTGATCATTTTAGATTTAAATGTATACCACTACCAGGTTCTTAGTGCTGATTTGGCTTGTTTTGCCCTTGAATAGTCTCCATAATTATTTAAAACGTCTTCTATTAAAAATTTCTTACAATATATACGAAAAAATGTCTGAATACTGACCACTTGTCTATATTGGGTTCCTCAGTGTTATCCCCTTTCAAAAGCCCATAGAGCATATAACAGCAAGCGTATCTTTTTATATATTTCTATAGTACCTTCTGTTTTGCTGCTCTTGTAGATACCTCCCGCTCTTTTGCCTCTGGTTTCCTGGAGAGACAATGCACTGCTAATCCTCTCTCTTCAGAGGGCACAAGTGAGAGGTAGCCCTTCTGGAGGCACAGAGAGAGGTGAGAAAGGTACGTTTTGTAACAGCATTGTCCTTGGGGAAGCAAAAGGAACACTGAAAGGCAGAAGGCCGGCCCTGAGACCTCAAAAACACGCAGAAAAGGTAAAAAGCAACAGGAAGGAATTGATTTTTGTGAGAGGGCTCCAAAATGTGTAATTTATTCAGCATGAAGTACAAAAGTGCTAAAAGATCCTTTAAGTCTGCTTAATAGAGACTTGGTAATAATGGCTTCTCAGTTACAAAGGGTACCTTTCTCTGTATCCTTTGCACAGATCTGGAATTTGTGATTGCTGAGGACAATGTTTCCTCATTAGGTTTCTGCACATCTTCAGCTGTTGTCTGTAGGCCCCTACAGAGTTACATTTTAACTGTTTTCTCCTCTTTCCCTGCCTTGTTCTTATTGAATCCATTGGTCAAGAGAATCAAATATCTTGTCAGGTGTAAGTTTTGCTGCTCAGAGCTTGAGTTCTTGGAGAAAACTCTTAAGTTTTGTAAGTCCCCAACTTCTATAAAATTAGATAGGAAACATTAGTTTCACCCCACTATTTGATAGATCCTGGGACTCCATCCTTCATAAAACCTAAGGGAGGTTACGTTTAGATTTTTTTCATGTTACATTTGCCACTACAGTGACACTAATGTATGTTCACACAAAGCAGAAGTTCATTACAAAATCTCTTATTACAGAGACAATCAAAGAAAGTTTAAAAGTCTTTAACCACTGAAGGCAATTTTGATATCATAGGAACGTTTCACACTGAAGTAATGATGAGTGTGGTCCCAGTCACCTGAAATGATCCTTCTTATAGTGCCTTAAAGCTTAACACTAACACAACTCCAAAGGTAAGTACCAAAAAAACCCCAAACTTTTTAAGCAAGAAGAACAAAATCCAGTTGAAGGAAAAGAAAGGTGATTACAAAACTACAACAAATAATGAATCTAAATAATAACCTCTTTATCCCTTCTCTCTCCCACCTTCTCCAATCCCAGAATCATAAGGAACGCTGGAATCATTAGGGACATACAAAAATGATAAGATCTCGTAGAAAGACAAATAACAACCAAAACAGAATTCTGTCTGTTTGTGGTCCTGAGCAAATTACTGATGAAACTGGGATTACAAGATCCAAGAGGATGCTGCCCCTCTCTCTTCTATGGGAAGGGGTAATATGACACTTTTATGTAGTCATGTCACAGTCCAGACATTATTCTTATTGGGTTATCAGCTCCTAGGAGAAATGGTTCATGGCACGAGATGGCAAGGTGGTGGTTGAACACCTCTGCTGTGGAAGATACCTGCTGGGAGATGCTCCTAAGGCCAAACCCTGCCATTCAGAGGAATCAAACTCTATGTTCTTCCCAGTAGAATAACCAAGCAAAACAAGTAAATTTTGCACTCCTTTGCAGCTGGTTCAGTTTCTGCGTTATAATGGCATTTTCCCAATACAGGAATTTTGATCATGTCAAACACAAATCCTCTAAGGTTCAATTCTGCATTTCCCTCCTTTGACTCATACAGTGTGCTGTACAAGAAAAGAAAACATATGAGTTTATGAAAAACAGTTTAAAAAAAAAAAGACTCCAACAGTCTTTTTGCATTCACTGTGAATGTAATTCTGCTTAATCTTCTTCTAGAGTGAGCTACAGTGAACAGACTCAAACCAGCATATACTAAGTAGTGTAATAAATGAAGAATAAATTGTGCATAAATTATGCATAAAATACCATGTTTTTCAATTCCACATATTTGCCTCTTCATGTTAATCTTTCAAATATCATGCTGTCCAGCCATAAGAACACCACATGGCAACTGTCTGCAGCAAAATTCAGGAGCACTGTATCAGCTACAGCTCCATCTCAAGCAGTACCGCAGCCCAGGCACTTTGGAGGAGTTCAGGAAACCCTTTCATATGCAACTGAAGTTGTAATTCCAGGCAGTTGTCATCTACATGAACCAGTGGGCTGTCTTCCAAAGATAGAACATTTTTCATCTTCTTTAAAATGAGGCAACTGAGCTCAGCAGTAGCTGTGGCAACAAATTCCACAAACTAGTTACAACCTGTAAAAGTGCCAGCAGGCCAAAAGTTATCAGTGTGCACATTCCAATCCCCAAAAAATTAACCTGATTGCAAAGACCACCAAAGGAGGTAGGAACACTTAGGTCCATCCCCTTGAAACCAAAGGATAAAGTCTTTTGCATAATTCTAAAGACGCAGAAAAGCCTCCACCATGGCTACACTAAATGTTCACAGACAAAAGCACTTTTCCCCCACACAGATGTGATCACTTATAGTTACAAGCCCAGACTCAAGCAAGCAGGCAAGTAAATCAGAATGTGCTACAACATGAGCTAGAAAAGGTTTGCTGTTATTCTTTAGTGTCTGCTACCCCTCTGTGTCAAATGTTCCAATCACTAGATATTCCATGAGATTTTCTTCTCATGCTGTTTCAGAGGATGTAAATATACCTAACTCAGTTGAGAAGGCAGCAACAGGGTTCAGCGCTTACTCAGGAAAAGTAATCTTTCACAATAACACAAGTGTGCAAAATTCCTTACAAGGCACAAAATACATAGGTGTGTTCCACCGGATTCACATTTATTCAGTAGTATCTCTCTTGTGATCCCTTTGTTAAGTATCACCTTTTTTTTTTTTTTTTTTTTTCAGAAGAAAGCCTCTTCTATTTGGTATAGAAGACTTGATTTACTGCAACAGATCCTTCCAGGCTGTCCATACATGTATTGATTAAGTTGATTGAGTTCTGGAAAAAAAAATTATGTTAGTCCAGAATGAAAAGCAAGTCACACTGGTGGACACTGCTTAGTGCAACAGAGACTGTCAATTATTCCCCCCTGCTCTACCCTTTATACTACTCACCTTTGCTGTATCTTCTGCCAAGTTACAAAAATTAAATTTCTTTTTCTCTGAAAAGATGAAACTTTAGGGTGATTGAGAAGGATCCTGTTTCTAAGGGAACAGAAGGCTATGAAATTACATGACAGATTGGTGTCTTCATAGAGTACTTCAGGAAAATGCTGACTACAGCTCTTTTTAATGTAGAGATACTAGGCATATTTGCTGTCAGTCACAGCATGAATTGGAGGAAAATACCTCAGCACTGCATAGCTACATCTGGATTCCTGCTCATATAATTGAGATCAAAAACCCTCCCATTGTCATTCAATTACAAGTCACAATGAAACACAAACTGACTGATCAGCTGAGGGACATGGCTGTCTTCCTGGAAACACAAGGCTCATTGGCATTTGGGAATGGGGGCCAAGCCCTGGGTGGCCTGGTGCAGGGTGGGGGGCATTAAAGGCTAAGTCTTTTTCCATTCCAGAGCATCTTAATAGTCTGCTACAGCTAGGAAAGAAAGCATATACCAAGAAGTAATAGAAAAAGAAAGTAAGATTGCAGCTAACAATACAATTTCATTTCAAAACAACTAATCTGGAGGTCAGCCCAGGGACCTGAATTTCAATAAAGCTTTAGCAGCAGGAGCACTGCCATTGTTTGTGGCTGAAGAGGTTCTTATCCCTAATACAGGAGCTAGAACTAATATTATTTTTCTTTTTCTCAATAATCCATGTTGTTCAGATGAGGTTCTTAGCAGCATCTTCAGGGTTAAGAACACTGACAGTGGAAGGAAGCAAGTAACTGTGGTTCCCAACTTCCAGGGATTAACAAGCAGGCTCAGTGCATGAGGGCTGTCACATTCTTGAACTCTGCAGTAGGAAGGAAAATGGACTTTTCTTCAGTGGGCAGTTTTTAGTGACACATACTGGCTGTCATCTCTTTCTGTAAAACAAGAAGGAGAAATAAAAAAGGAAATGGCATTTGTGATAAACTGTGCACAGGCCTCTTCCCTGTCTGTATTTCTGCATCTCTGAAAACCCAAGTGGTTTCATATGCCACCATGGTTCTGCCCCTCTCTGTCACTTTCAAGGACAATGAACATAACCGGTAATTAGCATATAGCCTTAATAACCTAATAAATCCCTAGCCATGTCAGGTAAAAGGTGCTGCATCCCCCCACAAAAGAAATAAATCATCTGCAAATGTCAGAAACCTTTTAATTTAATAAAAGAAAAAGGATTCCAATCATTCTCATTGAACCTGTTGCCAACACAAATCCTAGATATACCTTCTTTGCCTAGTTATTTCTGCCTACACATGGACAAAAAGGGCATATGGGCACAAATCTTCTTGAGGACTTGATCAGAACTGTGACTTTCATCTCTAGGACGGGGTCTTGAATCATTCACTGATTCCACTGGGAACTGGGGTTTAGGATCCACATAGGATTTTATTTGATCTGATTTACAGGCACTCAAACTCTCTGATACCTGTCTGGCTCCATTCTATAAAACTTCATATTTGTCAGCAGATTTTCTGGAAAGACATTATGAGATATCTGACCAACAGCCATCCACATAAACCACACCACACAGCATTTCCCTTGGAAAACCTATTTAGAGTTACAAAGTTATTGGAAGTGTCTGAAAATTTGTTAGATTGCTTGAATAATTTGTTATCATGTAAAAGATAATTAAGATCTAACACAAACAGCTTTGTGACAGTGTTGTAACTGTATTTTACCCTGTGTTTAGCAGATTATTTCTCCATCTAAAATTCCTACACAGAATTGTAGGATTCCCACCCCTCCACATGCTTCCAGGCCTCTAACTAATTTTTCTTTCTTGTAGATTCATCTTTCATTACTTGCTATTTACATATAACAGAATGGAATGTTGTCATTTGTTATAAAGACAATGGTAATTAGTACAGTAATTTATACAGTAATGTGTGATCCCCACAGTAAGCTGAATCAGTAGTTGATTCTCCTGTAATTTGTCAAAGGTCACAGAGGTAATCTGTCTCCTTTTGTCCTTAAATGTTTGGGGGAGGGAGGCTGGGTTGTTTTGTTTTTCTTTCAAACAGCTGCACTTAGGCTTACTTCTTCAGAACAACAAACACCAAATGCAGAACTTAATATAACTCAGCACAGTGCTGGACAGCTTCCTATTGTTTTATACATAAGCAGATACAAAATGCCTCCCTATCTTCTTTGGGAGATCAGAAAAGGCAACTATGCTAGGAAACAGTGACAGCCAACATGTAATACATTATTGCACCAACACTATGCCAACCACTACCAACCAAAGTAGGCTTCTAGAAGCTAAAATCCATCAGGACTCAGTTTGATGTGAAATCATCATGAAGCTCTTCCTGGGAAGGGCAGGGCAGGGCAGGCCAGGGCAGTGACTACAAGCTCTGATGTGGTTTGACACCGTGCCGAAGCTCTGCTGACAGGGCCTGACACCATTTTCAAAGCTGGTTTCCCCAGTGGAGGATGCCAGGTGCTGCCCAGTGGTCTGCACTCAGAGCTGCCTCTGCAGGGCGGTGGCAGGGTTTTTGTTACAGGCTGAGGTGGCACACACATTTCAGGGACTGTGCAGCACCTTCCTCCTGAAATTAGAGAGGAGTTGAAATACACTCACAAAGTATTCATTGCCACAGTCTGTGCTTTCTTCACTGATTTAAGTTATTCGTTTTTCTTTTTTTCCCCCTTACCTGAAGATTAATTAGATATTAATGCTTTTTGATGTATTTTTTATCTTTACAGGCCCCTAAATTTACACATACTCAGTTTCTGCATGTCCCTGCTTCTACCTAACAGGCCTTCTGTCCCAACAGCTGCTTGGCTACTGTTTTGGAAATGCTCACCAAAGCTGTAAAACCAGAAATATGTTAAAACTTACAAAATATCGACATCTCTGACACACAGAAAGATTTTCTGTATTGACCTATACTGTTACTGGTTAATGAAGGACACAGAAGTACAATGGCATGGTATTCCTGCATATATATGTGCTTTAGCTTTCAGTGATTTCATGACCGTGAACTACATGAGATTTAAAGAAAAAAAAAAAGCCCATGATACTTGTGATAGTAAATCAGTACAAGCTTTGTGAGAGTGACCTACTTCCACTTGTTATTTTTCTTAGGGGAATTTAAAACAGAGAAGAAAAACAAACAGGAAATGGTTTCTCAAAGAGACTGATATAATTATGACACTGGTGAAGAAAAAGCTTCACTCAAAATGCTGGTGAGAATGAGAGGAAGGGTCATATCCCCATGCCCAACTTCGTCTGGGCAGCAGCACAAGGCATGCTGTGTGCTGCAGAGCCTACTGCTGAGCCTGTTACAGAGCAAACCACTCCTACTTGCCAAACTCTGCCCCCTCTGAGACACTTACCTTCAAAATTAATCCCCCAATCTTCACAGAGCCTGCTGGAATACCTCTCACTGATTCTGACAGGCACCAGGGACTTCACACACAGTTCCACTCAGTGGAAAAGTGCCCCTCAAACCTCCACAGAGATCTAGCTCCTTAGTTATTCTGGTCTGATGAATTACCAGACACTACAGAGTATACTTACGTATTGTTATGCCTTAAAATCTACATTATATAAAATTGAAGTGTAACTCGCTATTACTTTTAGTTTGCTTTGTATTAGATTCCTCAAATGCTGTTTAACATTTCTTGTCAAGATTTCAGCAAGGTGAAAAACACCTTTTATGTAGAAATGTACACAGAATAAGGCATAATAGGGCCACACCACTTGACATAACCAGACAAAACTACTCAGAGGCCTTGCAGCTGTTCCAAGGAGGACATACACAGCGAAGAGGACGAGGGTTGGGAGGAAGAGGTGGTTGTTTTCAGACCACTGACTGAAATTCGGGAGGTGTGGCAAGGGTGGTCCGATGGGTGGGACAGTTTTGGGGACAGGTGTAACCAATGAGGTAATGTCCAGGTATTGTAATTAGATGGTACTATAAAATTGTAAAGGCCTATACTGTCGGGGGGTGCAATATATTTTGTGCACCTACAGTGCCTCAATTAAAGAACTGTTTTTTGCTTTTCTATCTCAAAATTGTCCAGAGAATTATTTCTCAGGTTTTAGGCAACAGTTGCTTCACTAAGACTTTTCCTGCTCTAAATTTTAGATTACACACTTACCTTAAAAAATACAGGCAGAAGTAAATGCTGTTTTTCAAATCCAAAATCCAAAGAGAAATCTGGACCCATTCTATGTGCTGAATATGCCCAAGACCAGCAACTGAGGAGAATTTAACACAGAACTAACTTCTAAGAAAGGCAAAGAGAAACTTGTGCTATTCTTTGTCAAGTCCTTGAAGTATTTACTTACTCGCTGAAGTTAATGTTAACAAGCCACTTTGTAAGCACCAGAAATTTATCTCTTTTGTTAGTATTTATGATTTCCTGGAAGGATGCCTTCCTGAGTATTTTTCAGGGAGTACCAAGGTGATCTCAGAGATGAAGGGAAAAAAGCAACACAGTCCTAAAAGGGTGATCAATCTCTATCTCTGAAGGATTTCTACTCCTCTCCGCTCCATAATGCTCCAACATGCATCTCAGATACTTTCAGCATATAAATCTATATCTAACTATTTTAATTTCTGTTCCTCAGTTCACCTTTAAATGCAGCAGGAAAAGAATGGAAAAAATCCAACATCTTACAGCATGAACAAGAAGCTGAAGAAATCTTTTTCCAGTGTGTGATGGTTTGGACCTGGCTTCCTGCCAAATGCCCGAAAATCACGGCAGCAGCCCCCTTCCCCCCTCCCTTCTTCCCTTAGGGCAAAGGAAAAAACTATAAAAATTAAAGAACCCAAAGTCAAGCTACTTATATAAAAATATATATATTTACGTATATTACAGTTATACACAGTTAAGATGCTACGTACACAGTAAAAGGGAATCCAAACACCCCCTCGAAGGGATAGGGAAAGGGGAAAAAAGGGGACAAAAGGGAACAAAAAGGGACACCGAACAGGTATACGTGATCAAACTCAAGAACTATACTAATAACTAACAAAACAGATCTCACCGCTTCCCTTAGAAAACACAGGACTGGCAGACACAGCCAGCACTCTCCGAACCCCCATGTGGCAGGACAGTGGACACTGCAGGCCTCAGCCTTAGATAAGTGAGACCAACACAAGGACTCCCTGTTCCCAAACCTCGCTGGAAGAGAAGAGAGCGAGGTCTCTAACCTCTAACTTATTTATACCCTGGGTAATGTAAAAATCGTATGGAATCTGGGTACTTGGCCACTTCCTTGGTTACAAACTGGTCACCAGGAAGGCCTAGATCAAAACCATCACACCATGACATACCTGCTTGTAAGGAGATGATTGAATCTGAATGGGTTACAAGAAGAATGAGCTCCCAGTAGGCAATGACATTCTTTTAAGAAAACTGTGTTTCTGTGCTTATGTGAGTCAAATATAAAACTGGCAAAACACAAGGCAAAAAAACCTCCAAACAGACATTGCCTTTGTACCAGTATTTAATAGCAGCCAGGGGTCTGTCCTGTGCAAAAGCTGATGGGAAAGTGGGTGAAGGGTCATGAGTAAATAGTATAAATAATAGTATTCTATAAGAACACCAGAAATAATAATAAATGCAATAATGACCTTCACTAAAACCAGGGCTGCTTTAAACACTCGAATACTCCTTCATCTGTGTCCCACCCTCACCTCCAGTACCCCAAACTGAAGCAAAGCATAGCCTGACATTCTCCCTCCTCAGCTCCTTCTGGTGCCAGTAAGCAAGCCTAAGGGTGATGGGGAAACAGCTTATTTTAACCCTTTTACAACTGTTTTAAACAGTGAGGTTTCAAGATGTATACACCAGTGTGTCAGCAGACAAGTGGTTAAAGTATTAGCTCCTGACAGGCAGGGATACCCAGCCCAAGTAGGGTTTT